TATTTGACCGCTGTATAAATTCTATTGGCTATGAATAATACGTGAAGAAACACTGTTACAGCTGGTGGAGTTGGTTTATTTTACTTTTGATGCACACTTTTATATAATTTGGCATGCAGCTCAGCAAATCAGGCAGAAATCACTGACAAACCTGGGCAGGAATTTAAAATCAATAGCGTCATAAAAATGTATTGATACTATTTTCTGAGATGAATGACATAATTGAAGATGGTGTCTGAAAGGGAACGTAACCCGCCACCACCTCCTCTAGGCTCATTTCATCTTCACAATTAAAGCACTGTAAAAATATAAACAAATCGAATTTTAATTTAATAAAACCATGGAAAACTGTGATCATTAGGGAAATCAGTGGTAATTACTGACTATTCTGTATATTACAATAACTCATGGCCCTTGCCAAAAATTCTCACTCTTACTAAAGCATCAAATAAAACATTAAATCAAGTTAAAAAAAATACCCAGATAAATACTAATCTTCGACAGTTATTTAGTACTTATCTTTAAATGTCTATATGTTGTTGCATTGGCAAAATGTAATGACTCAAATAAATGTAGTGACATTTGACGCATTTAGTTAATTTGTAAGGTCTAAATGTAGACACTAGGGGGCAGTAAAAGCACAATAATAACTTCATATTGTTCGGTTTATTTATTTATTAGTTCTGTTTTTTATATAAAGTTCAGAACTGACTTCAATGATTTGTTTGCTAATGTATTTTTTTTCTTTATGTCATGCTAATTTCCTGTGACAATAACATCAACTGCGATGCTTACATACAGTACCTCATTTAAGCTGTATTTTGATAGATGAAGTCAGATGAACACAGAGTTTGTAGTTGTACAGATATATATATATATAATGTAATATATATATATATATAATGTTCTGTATATTTCCAGGAGGTAGACTGTGTCTTCCAAGGAAACCAACTTTCTTAAAGTCAATAAATTACACTGAAAAACAGCAGGTGGCATTAAAAAAAAAGAGTGCATTGTTATGTGCATGACATATTATCAGTTGCTGGCTCCACACATTTGTCTGTAGCCTGAAGGGTAGAAAACAGAGAGGGTGGTGCAGCAGCAGTGTTGAGATGATGTATGCCTGGTCATGACTGACCTACAAATTAAACTCTAATGGTGAGATAATTAAGATTTCTAGATGGATAACATGGACAGAACAAGTTGACATAATCTATGTATCGTATACCAGTCATTAAAAATGAAAACATCCTGCGCTCTGGGCTGCTGTTGCTAATATATTAGCTGAATAATGTCGCAGATGTTTTTCTGTAGTAGCATATTTCTCAGTAGCCACCATAGGAAGGTTAGCTCTTAATGTCAACTCTGTGTTAATTCTTCACGCCTTCCATGGGTGTGAGGTACTGTGGAGGAGGGGTGCCACTTTATTAGACAATTTCTTCTTCTTCTTCTTTTGCAAATGTTTAAATAGCACATTCCAGATACAGTACCCGAACCTGCTTTTACTATCAGTGTTAAAAAAACAGTCAGTTGAAATGAAACTCACCACTAGGAGTCGTTTATTTATTTTTTATTTTTTACACAGTAGCTTCAATCAGTGACAGTTTAATCGTCCAGCTGGGTTAATGGTTACACCAATAAGAGCCAACACTGCATTTTCTATTATAATAAACGATGATCTAAAAATAGACCCAAATATTGACTTTGATTAAAGCAGCTGAACCAACACGTCACATGTTATTGTTTGGTCGGCGATGGTGAATAGAACGGAACCATGAAGGAAGTTCCCAATGTTTATACTTACTGTACAACCACAGCAAAGACTGGGCTATTTATAACTTTACTTACTACACATCCTGTGTGTTATTTAGTGTGACCACAGGAGGCAGTATACTATGATAATACTTGGTATAGCGTTTATCTAACTTGTTTATTTCACTTTGTAATACAATATATTTCATATTTTGTAAAATGGCCCAAGTGGATTCCAGCTAATTGGTGGATTGGCTAATTTTTGAACATGTATGTGTCGGGACAGTGTTTTATTGTTTTAGATCAGGATGTCTAGGGTAGTGGAAGCTACTTTTTTTTCCTCTATTGAATCCAAATCTACGACGTAGAGCCCAATGGTCAGTCATGAGACATAAGCTAGACTGAATTTATTAGAAAGGTCAAGGATTACTCTCTCAGGATAAATGGACATGACATGACCCCCACTCTACGTGATATCAGGTTCCTAATGTCATGTCAGCGCGACTGAAACGTCATCCCGAAACTGCGGCCGTGACATGACAGAAGCGATGCTGTTAAAGTCAACAGCTACTTGACACCAGAGGCTTCTTCTCTGCATGATTATGCAACCGCTATTATCCAGTCACATCACCTGGAAAATTAGAGGTAGAGAAAATATGCAATCATTTTTATTGTTTTCATAATAAATCAGCAGTAGAGGGAATCCTGTGGGATTTGTACACCTGCATGAGTGTTTCATTATTTCATGGTGTTCCAGTAAAGCAAAACTTCATACAAATCTTTTTTTCACTTTGGGAACCACTGACAAACAATGCTTTACACTACCCTTAAAAAAGACGTTCTGGTTGATTTCGGGGTCTTTCAGGTTTCAACAGTGGTCAAAGAAGAGCCCTTCAGCCCAAGGTTTGGTCTTCACCCTTTACACTGAGGTTTCAAAGCTCTGAAATGTAATGTAACTGCAGACAGTGATGGCAGATGGCGCTAATTGGCAGTTTATTGTCACTAATGTGGCTCCATGGCATAGGGAGGAAACTGCTGCTGAATGTCCATGACCTTATAACCCTTAGGCCAACCATCAAACCCATGTTAAAAAATAAGCCATACAAATTAAAAAAGTTAGCATGTCTGCATTAACAGAACACTCAAACACAAAAACTTTCACGTTCAACACTCAAATAGTCTGTGTGAGTAATGTTACTGCGGCTGACATTGACTCATGATTAATATTGGTTTGACAAAGAAATTCAAAATGAATCGACGTCTGAGGGATGGAGTGTTGACGCGGTGAAAAGGCCTTGAGAGGAATTCCTATTAGTCACTGAGAGAAACTCAAAGGCAAACACATCAGACCAGTAGCTTTCAAACCGCCAAGGTCACACATCCCTGATCATCTACGTGGGCGAACATTTCTCATCACTTCCTCTTCGTGTACCACTCTTTCTGTTTGAACAGGGCTTTGAATAATGTACAGTGCAGTAGCTAACAGAGCTGAACGACCGGAAGAGGATGAAAAAGGTGTTTCCCTTCTGTATCAACAACAGGTACGGCAGCATCACGACAGTCTTCTGTACAGTCCAGTAAATGACTGTCCAATGTAGTTTTAATAAAGTAAAACTACATTGGAAGCAACTCTACATCCAACACGCCTGACCTGACTTAGATGACTTGGATTGATTTGACTTGGTTTTACTTGACCTGGTTAAGCGCAACATGACTTGGTTTAACTTGACTTTGTTCAATGCAACTTGACTTGATTTGACTAGACATAACTCTGTTTGATTTGGCTTGGTTTGACTTGGTTTTACTTTACAAGATTTAACTAGATTTGACTAGAGTTCACTTGGTCCAACTAGACTTGACTTGGTTTGACTTGACCATCTTATCCCTAACTTCTTCTACGCTCTTTTGCTGTAGCAGTAGTCAGATCCCAATGCTTCTGCAGCTCAGAGAAAATCTGTCTGAAAGAGTCTCCACTCTTTCACACTAAAGTTTTTTTTTTTCTCAGTGTTCTTAGTATGTTGCTGATTATTTATGAGTCATAAGTTCAGTCCCTGCTTATGCACATACTGTGAATATGCATGAAAATATGTCTGCTGCCAGTGTATAAGTCATGTTCCTTAAACCTTCATTATTGTTAACAGCAGTTTTTCTGTATTTTGCCTCAGGACTGAATCCAACAGTTTAAATTATGAAATCACTCCACACATTCTATTGTTTGGAGCAGAAACTGAGGAGAAAAAAGACTAAAGAGAGACTTGGAGCATGTGTGTGTTGAGAGAGTGTGTTTATGCAACGTTGTTTCTCCTTCAGTTACAAGTATTATCTCTCCATGGCAGCGCTGCCTCCTCCACTACCCCCCCCCCCCCCCCCCCCCCCCCCCCCCCCTCCCCGCACACTCGGCTCTTCACAGATATGCTCCTCTAGAGATTGCAATAATACAAACCGTAATGTGTTTTTCAGCTCCCTTATGTTGAGACCCTTGACAAAAACACTGACGGGAGTCTTGAATGTTTTTTCAGAATAATAATTCAAGACGCAAATTGTGTAGGTAGTCACTGTGTGTGTGTGTGTGTGTGTGTGTGTGTGTGCACAAATGAAAAGAGGCTGCCACAGTATGTTAGCAGGTGTGTGACATAACACACTGTAGTATGGACACACACTCTTCTGACTTAAACAAGTCAGAATCAACAGTTTAACAGTTTTAAAATCATAACTGATTATTATATCAGTGTCTCAAATGTATAATAATAATAAAACAACAATAATAATTATTATTATATATTATTTTTTAATATTTCTAATGGCTTTTACAAGTCAGATATGAATTCAGCTTCCAGTCCCATCAAGCCCCTTCGTGTGAAGATCCACGGACCCCACTGCACTGTCTACATCAAACTCTTTGTAACTCCTGGCTATATTGTGTCGCATTTATAGTCTGCTGTAAAACAGACGTTCAACGGCTCCTCCTGGCTGTAAAACAGACGTTCAACGGCTCCTGTTGTTCTTCATTTTCCATCACAAGACAGTGATCGACTGTCAGTGAACTTCCAGATCCACGGCTCGATTCACAGAAGGTCAAAGAACAATGAGTGAAAAATATTTGCCCTCACACAACAGAAAAGACAATTTCTACTTGTGGAATTGGTGTGCAATACCAAGTCTGACCACTGTTGTTCTTCATTTCCCATCACAAGACAGTGATCGACTGTCAGTGAACTTCCAGATCCACGGCTCGATTCACAGAAGGTCAAAGAACAATGAGTGAAAAATATTTGCCCTCACACAACAGAAAAGACAATTTCTACTTGTGGAATTGGTGTGCAATACCAAGTCTGACCACAAATTCTGAGCATTAGCCTGGTAACCTTTACAGTATTTATCTTTTTGTTATCAGTAGATGATAAAATGAAGACACTTTTTGAACATCACTGCTGAGTGACACGTAGCCCACCTCACAGATGTGCAGGGGCTGCCCTTGGAGATTCCTCTGTACAAACAAGATGAGTCAAATCCTGATCCCACCCCTCCTTCCATCCGCCGTGCTGCCTCCCCCCTTCCACCCCCACACATTTTCACACCAATGAGCATGCCGCCTGTAGCTCCCACTCACTGGCATCAGCAACAGCAGACAACCTTCAATGCTGTGCAGATTCATAAAAACAGAGTGTGTGTAGACGGAGACGGCATTTGTGCCAAATAAAACGACTGTCATCAAAAGGAGGAAGACCAAGAGTCCAGCTTCATCTGCATCCTGCAGACCTAAGGTACAGATTCATGTTCATTCCCTGAATGACGGCCTGTTTTGTAACTTTGCTGTGGACACAGAACAGCAGGCGTTGTGTGTCAGTGTCTCTGTCAGTGTCTGTGGTTTGATGGGGTGATCGTTACTGCAGTTTAACATGGAAGGGTTTTATTACTGACAGTGTTGTGATATACTGTATGTACTGTACATATACAAGAAGGTTTCCATCCTGCTGATAGATTTTTTTCATGTCTGCCTGTATCAATCAGGATTATTCACTGTTTGCACAAATACATTTCACACTCAGCTCAGAAAGACAGAAGCATCAACAGAGTTACTGCAACTGGAGTTCTTTGAAGGCCGCTTCCTGTAGCCAATCCTCTAGTGTGCAACATCATGAAACTCCAACAGAGCAGGTGTCAGAGTTCCAGACACTGGCCTGCAAGACTTTTACTGGATTTTTTTCTTTTATATTTCTCTGATATTTCCTCTGGCGAAGTAGTGACAGGATAGTGGAGCAGTTCCTGTTGTTGTTGTAAAACTCAGCCTAAGCTAAGCTAATGTTTATACAATTGCAACTCTTTTCTGATAATATTAAGATGAACATTTTGACTTTAACTTCCTAATTTTAAAGTTAAAGTAGAGTTAAAACTACAGCTTTAAAGAATGCATGTATTATATAGCAGTAAATCAAAATGTCCACGCTTGGTTCTATCCCTCAGAAATCTTAACTCTGTCTCTAAAGCTTCAAGTTGAATTCCACTCTAAACTCTAAACTTTCAGCCAACATGTGAAAAAAATAAATGTTAAATACCAATTACATTGATAGTTTTTAAACGGCAGTCTGTGGTCAGACATCACCGAAAGTGGACGTCAACCATCTGGCTTTAAATGGTGACAAAAAACACCGCAATTATAGAGTACAGTAAATAGAAGAGTGGAAGGAAGTGCATAAACTGGAGCAACTCATTTTCTAATCTCTCTTATGCAAGACAATCTGACGATGTGACAGGCCTCAGGATGGACACCACTGTCTGTCCCTCCACCAAAGTCATTATATAAACAGTTGAAGGTTAGCGGTGAGCAGTGATAGCAATGTACTTTTTGTAAAACAAATACAAGCAAAGGTGTGAGAGAGATAATACGATCCGACATTGACACGGCCACAACAAAAGGAGCATCACGTCTCATCGAGTTCCAGTGGAGCCACCAGTGTATGACACACTGTAACTGTAACTCAAAGCTTGACGTTCTCCTCCACTGGGTCACCTCATCATTCTGAACTGTCCTGACACGTTTGTGCTTTTAATAGCTCAGCCCAGACTGTGACAGAGCAGATGTACATGAGCTGTATCTGACATATAATCCCTGTGAGTGAAAAAAACCCACGAAACGACTTTAGAGTTTAAGATGTTAGCATTAGAAAAAAATACAATAAAATCACAAGGTCACATAATTTCATCTCCAAAAACCTTTAGTCTGTTTTGGTTCCACCGTTCTCTGCAGACGTTGTTTACGTTCTGTGAAAACCACAGACAGATCTGCGCCCGCAGAACTGACTTGCATGAAAGGATTAAGACATTAATCAAACCCGAAGTACGAGGACAACGTTATCAACATGCTTTGACAGAAAAATACACTCTGGTCATGTAAGGCTTCGCCGTTCCTTTTTTATTTATTATTATTCTCTTCAGGATTAAATTATAATCTGCAGAATGGTCTCTGGATGTAGATTTAGTTGATAGAAAATAGATAGATGGAGGAACCATCAGTGCAGCGGGGGCGGAGGGGGGGGGGGGCGACACCAATCTAACCACATGAATGCTCCTCAGTGATGAGATAGTGGATGAGAATAACATCAGGAATCTGATAATAAACAGCTTAAAGCCAGGTTGACAGTGGAAGTGATAACTGAGGTCGGGTCTTATCACTGGAGGGAGGCTCAGGTTCGTACTGTCGTATCGACCTGCACGACTATAAGGACAAGTGTCATAAAAAAAACAAAAAAACTTTTGTCTTGGGCTAGTTATGTATGGGATAAACGTGTCAACCCACGTGTCATGTCAAGTCTATGACAAATTCTGTCAAAAAAATTAGATCATGAATTTCTAATGTAAAATGCTTTGTTGCATCTATTCTTGATGTCAGAGATCTAAATTTTCTACATTAGCATCAAACATGGACACAGGGTAATCTCTGCTGATGATGTAAGGTGTAATTTCTAGTCTTCCACAGGTTTTGCTGCATGTTTACTAATTGCACTGAAAATAACCGCAGAGAAGTGTGATTTTAAAGTCTGTGCCAGACCTGCAATTTTCTCTAATAGTGTCTGAGTCCTGTTGTGCGACTTCCAGCCGAGGCTCTATATTTACTACACAACTGTTACACAACAGAAAATGAACCTGTTTAATGGTGGACTGTGAAGTTAAAGCAGAATTGTGCTGCAAGAGAAATAAATATATGCAACAAAGAGATAAAAAAAATTTAGGTTTGAGAAGCTTTGCTAGGTTGTTTAGCATGCAATTTTGTTTTGTTCGAAATACAATTTTATCAAGTTTTTTTATAAACAAAATGAGCTACAGACAAATTATAACCAAACACAATGATCCTTTAACGATCTTAAATACCATTAACAACTCATGTCTCTCAACTTGAACCCAAATCTGTTAATTTGCAGCGAGATCTTAGAAGAAGCCAGTTTGTCAAACAGCTTAATAGCAACAATTCTCTTCTCGAGTTATGGTCGCAGCAGAAGCTGCAGCAGACACCGACGTCCTTGAAACCTTCCAGGGCCAAGACACAAAAATAAGAGCCCAAATTAAACCTGAATTTTCCCTCCGCTGATGCCACTGATGGTCAGTCATCAGATGGTCTGACACCTTATTTGCGGAAGTTTGTCTTCTGCTCCCATGCCAGCTGCCAAGTAGAAAGTTGCACAAGAACACATGTGATGAAGTGACTCGGTCCTGGATTTGTTCAGATGAGCTGTGAAAAGGAGAGGGAACCAAACTGAGACAGGAAGTTCCTGACAGTCTGGATGTCTCGTCATCCGAGTCCCGGTGCATAACAACCAGGCTGGAGACTGTTGGAGACTGGAAACTGTCAGAGTGAACGTCCATCTGCCAGTGAATCAACCCTGTGTGGAAATAAAGCAACCATTTTCCTTCAATTTAAGACATTTATAAATATGTAACAATATTTGGAATATTTTAAAGATGCATTTTTGACACAACATATTTTTTAAGTGAACAGAAATCTGTTTGGAATATTTGGATGATTCATTAAAATATAATCATAGTCATATAATAAAATGGAAAGTTTCTGTCACGTGGTCAACATGCAAACAATTGCTCACAAACCATCATTTCTGTGCAGGGTCTTTTTTTTTTTTTTTGGTTCATCGAGCAAACAGCTGAGCTATAATCATGGAGGTAGGAGAATAGGGAATCGAACACCTTTTTTAAGTGTGATGAAGCTTCTCAAGCACCTCTCTGAAATCACCACCTGGTAATTAGTTTATGGTTCTCACCTGTGTCGTGTGTGTTGCTCGTCTCGTTGGTCTGATTGGTCACACCTGGTGCCCTGGGTATTTGAACCACGCTGTCCGTGTTGGGTCATTGCTTATTTGTTCCGACTGCTGTCAAATCTGTGGCATTGCGGTCTTTATGTGGCTTAGTTGGTTAAAGTGCCTGTTTAGTAAACAGGACATCCTGGGTTCTAATCCCAGCAGTGCCTTTTCTGCAAGGTCTGTCGTCAGGCTTACTTACTATTTGAGATTTTTTTATTTTCATAGTGTAGTAGTTAGTACGCCTGCCTCGGAAGCAGAGAGTCCTGGGTTTAATTCCCAGAGGAACCACATGCTTTGCGCCTGCCAGGTGCAGCAGATCTGCTGTTAACATAAGAATATCCCAAATAAGGGATCAATAAAGTTCAAATTATTATTATTTTTATTTTGATTATTATTAGTTCTGTTCTGTGTTTTTTTCCCACTGGCATCGTTCAGTCCCGTCTCTCTGTTCTGTCGCTTCATCCCTGCCTGCTCAGGCAGAACCTGGGTCATTGCTCCAAGCTTCAGATCAGTCACCAGCAGAACCACTGCAGGAATGAACACTCATATATTAACCTCGATGTATAACCACATTCTCTGTTGATCTATATTTAATATGGAAGAAAAAAAATCCTGTGTGCCCATCAATCATTTTTTCATTGTAACACAAAACCTGTTTCATAACCGCTCTGCAGCTAGTCAGCTATCACCACACAGAGCTGTGGGGCTGCGGGGGGTCTCATGTCAGAGTCTGGAAAGTAGGGCACGGAGGAGAAATAAGAATACCTGCATTGCACCAAATTAGGTAACTGTTTTAATGAACATTATTACTTCCTGACCCCGCCGAGCATCATCGGCAGTCCAGCAGATGTGTCTGATACTTTCATAATGAGGTGTATTCGTGTGTGTGTGTGTGTGTGTGTGGCTTCAGAGTGCTGTTGCTGTTTTTAGCCTTGTTCCTCCAGGAACCAGCCTTGCTGCATGGCTGAATAGAACATGCACTGCTTCCCCCCCGACTACATGGATTTGTCAGAGTTTTTATAAATAGCTCAGCGGCAGCACGTGTTTGTTCCACGCTACCGACAGAGAATTTGGTTCCGGCCGCCTGAGAAACACATAACTGTTGAACCTGAAGTGGAACGAAGGGAGAAGGACGGCCGAGAGCTGGAAGTCACTGAGATGATGTTTGTTAACAGTGTTGATCTGATCAGATTGACAAATCTGTAGTTCACGTTGGTATAACGTTAAATATATGTTCACATATATCTCAGTGTCAGGGGAATAACTCTTACACATTTTCTCTCAGATGTTCCATTGGTTTGTGGTTAACACAATATACAGTAAGTACAAATATCACATCGTGTTCCATTGGTTTGTGGTTAACACTCGACCTGTTCTTCCAGTTCACAGCAGACCTTCTAGCTGCATAACATCTGCTACATAATGTGTGTGTTTCTGGGACAGACGAGGCCAAGTGTACTGTGTACACGAAGCTGTAGTGCAAGGGTCACCAACAACTGTGTTTGTCGGAGGACCAGAACTTTTCTGGACAGACACTTTGGGGGCCAGGCAATGAAATAAATCAAACAAATTAAATGAAATGTTTATTGTGGAATCCAGTCACGGATTGGCTGGTTCGGCGGCCCAGATTCCCTCTGCTGTAGGCTGAGGTTTACTCACTCACCACACAAAAAAATACCATCAAAAACCTAAAGTTCTGATGGGGAGTTTGCAGTTTTGTCTTCAGTCGTCCCTTTGTTAATGTAATGTATTTGATTGAATTCACCTGTCACAGTCGTCAGGAAAAATAAAGCGTTTTATAATAATCAACCAAATAATCCATGTCCAGCTTTAGTCAATGAAATTTCAAATAAATACTCTCACACTTCTGTGATCTAACGCTTCACATGCTTATTTTGAAGTTGAGTTATCTCCTGTGAACATGGTGGGAGGGTCACTAAACAGTAGCACTGCTGCTTTTAGTGGAGTTCTGTTTTTAACAATTCAAAAATAATGTTTTCGGTTTTTATTTAGCAGCAAGAAAATATACAGTAAGTACAAATATCACATCCTCCCCGTCGGTGATTTTATTGTCAAACCTTTCCAGAGAAACCATTTCATTTTCAGTGTGCTCGCTGTGCTGCTTCTCTGAGTAATACTCTCAACATTTTTGCATTAAAATAGAAACCTGAAGTTCTTACCTGACACTCTTGGTATAATAATAAATCCTCTGGGGAACTTCTAAAATAAGAACATTCCAGATCAGATCGTTTTTGTCACAAAAATGTATTTTCATTTTTTGAAATGTTCAAACTTTTGGGAATCTGACAACAGGGAACTTTATTTCTACTTTTAGTGTCAATATGCTCCCCCTGCAGGAATGTTGTTAACAAATACTCTGTTTAGACTCCAAGTCCATATTGTTACTTTGTATAGATATATATTTTTAAAAATCACAGTTTATTTCTTGTGACCTGAGTCTGGAGAGTGACAATAAAAACTATTGACAACTTGCATGTCAAATCCAAGTGGTTGCATTTTCTTATTTTCTGCCCAAAATCAGAAAGGTTTTTTCCAGGATATTTCCATGGACTCACAAATAAAGCAAGAGGCGCTAACGGCTGTTTCCTAGAAATATTACAGTACACAAAAATATGAGCACAAGTGACCTATTAGCAGGAATTCAACCAAAGAGAATGTACATTTCAGAGTCATACCTCCTTTTAAAGAGGTATGACGTCTGTGTCTGACCACTAGGGATGTAATGATGCATCTTGAATCAGTTAAAAATCGATACAAATGCTGGAAAATTTGCACAATATTTCGGTTGAAATAAAAAAAAATCACACTTCATTAGGTTTACTGCATTATCTCTAAAAGTCACTGGTCATACCATGTCATCACATAATTCAGTACAGTAGGGGGCATTATGTGCCTAAAAACAAAAACTGCTAGTCCACCACTTTCCAGTAATGATTTTCTCAAAACACATTTGGTTTCACAGAATCTCTGGGGTTTTTTTGGTCATATTTACAACTGAGTTCCATCTGCAGTAATTCATGCCAGAGGCAGAACACAGATAAACAGTACACAGTAGTGTTCTCTACATAACAGACTGAACTGCCTTTGCTGCCAGCCTGGTATTTGGTTCACAGAAATAAGCTCCTATTGTAAAAGTCATTAGAATTCAGCTCTGTTTCTATTCTTGGAGGTACAATTAGTTATTTATTTTAAATGTTTTTTAAGCTCCTATGAACCTCACAGGATGACTTGGTCCCTGTGCCTTAAGTTTGACACATTTCAAGCGTTTAAAGCTCTCCTCTGTGTAAGGCGGAACAGAAGGTAAATCGACATATACACTGCATATGAAGCTCCACCTGTCATCTACAGCCAGTCCAGGGCTGGACAGTCTGCAGACCTTATCTATGACGTGTCCAAAAAACACAAAGAACATCTTCATTAAAAGCAAGTGCGGGCCGGCCAGACTAACCAAACCTAGCTCATGGTGTTAGCCACCTTAGCAACAGTGACAACACGATGTTCTGGATTAGAAGCTCATAGTCGTTCCAGGTTTTCCAACCTCTGCAGGTTCTGACAGTCCGACTATCAACTGTTTCTGTGTCTGTTATAAGACTGTTTATTTTTTCCAATGTGAAAAAAATATTTTCACCACTGACTGAGTCATTACCTGTCTGCACTGCACAGAGGGAACACATCCTGTCTTTTAAAGCTGGAGCTCATTGAAAAAAAAAATGTTTTTTTTTTCTTTAGCATCATCTGAACCATGAAGACCAGGCTAGGCTGTCTGTCCAAGCAGTCAGACTCCTACAGTGACTTCTCTGAGTTTCTCCCACCTGCACGAGAAACTACAGCCAGGTGTCTGAAGTGAGTCTGCAGCAAATTCTTTTTGTTTTATATTCAGCGTTTGAATAGTCTTCCTACTTCATCTTTAAGTTAAAAAAAAACAACAACAAAAAAAAACAATTAAATCCATGGTTTCTTGGGTTTCTCTCCGCTAGGCTGTCGACGGACGAGGTGGTCCGGTGGTCGGAGTCGTTTGATCAACTTCTGTCCCATAAATGTAAGTTTAAGTAAATTTTGTTTACTTCTGTGTGCAACAGTCCTTTCTTACATGAATTCTTTCATACATGAATGTTGTTTGTTTTTTTTTTCTTCCATCTTCATTTGGAGGTCCAATCAGTATCACCATATACAAACTCTTGAGTACTTTGTGTGTTTTTGAACCAGTGGATTGTTAAATCGTGCCACTTCATTACTTATGGGTTTAAATTTTACTGTACACTTTACTTCGATATTACATTTTCTTCTCCCGACACAAGACAGGAAGTATCACTGGGGGAGGTGAGATTCTATTGGATTTGCAGTAGATCAATGTGAAGATAAGCGAGGGGGGGACATCCAGGAAATGTGTGGGGGATACTTGGAATAACAAAGGGAAGCTGTGGAGGAGCCGGGCAATTAATAAAAAGGGGAGAGCAGCGCGGGGTATGAATCATGGAGACAGGTTAGCCTGCTAACCCTGAGGTGACTTTTTGACCTCATGCCAGAACAATATCAGATAAAATATATATTTTCTCCCCTCATCATATTATAACTAGGAATCTTATTTAAAAATCAATTGATTGTATGAAGAATGCTGGTGCCAGCAACTCATACAGTGGTTTGTTCAGATAAATAAATAAATATTACCAGGCGCTCTGTTAGGACTGTCTGTGTTTCCCTTTCCTGTCTCGTCTGCTGGGTGGAGTTAGTGTGATCACACTCACCTGTGTCTCTGTTCATTAGTCTCACTCATGTCACCTGGTGCCCTGGGTATATATACCTCTCTCCCTCCCCGTCTTTGTTCGTTGTTTTGTAGTGGTTGTGAGTGGTCTGTTCAGTTTGTGTTCTGGGTTCCTAGTAATTCAAGTTAAGAACCAAATTCCATGTCCATGATGTTGGGGGAACAGCCCGTCTGTGTTCGGTGTTTTATTCCAAAGGGACATTGTTGTTGCTCATCCGCACTGTTTGAAGAACCTGCCTGCAACCGATACTACGTTCCTGTGCGCTGTAGTTGTTGCTCACCTGTAAATAAATCACCTGCTGCACCTGGACAGAGTCTCCCTAATGCTGGATTTGGGTCCAACCTGCTTCCTGCCTTGCTCTCACGTAACGCGCTCAATAGTATTTCAATTCAGGGATGATGTATATATCAGTATTAGTAGATATCAGAATCGGAATTTAAGTGTTCAGCCAATATCAGCATTTTAGATATCAGCAAAATAATTAATATCGAACATCACTAATTATAACCGAAAAACCATCTGCTCGTTCCTGATTTATTCAGAAAATTCAAGACAGTGCTCAGAGAAAATGTCTCTGGAATCTACACTGAGAAAGAGGCAGAGTTCTTTCTTTGCCTCTTGGAAAAAAAAAACAAACTTGGAAACGGGTCGGTGCCGACCCGAACACCAGAGGAAGGTTAAATTGACCCCTTCATTAGTGAGGCGACTTACAACATACAACATCGACATACAGAAAACAGAAACATTACATAAGACAAGATAGCACCCAATGTTCCCACTATTACATCAGCTCTAATCCAATTCCAAAGAGCAGGAAGTGGTAATAACACCTGCAGACGAGAAGCGCCACTCACTCATTGCCTTAACTGGATTCTGTGTTTGCTGGGGGCCTGACCTGAGCCCACCACAGTGAGCAGTGACAGGTCTTGTAACCTTTGCACAGGAACATCGTGTGAACCCAACGAGCAGCAGCAATCTGTCCATGTACCTCACAAGTACATTTTACAAGATTGACAATATATATTTGAAGTGACAAAAAACAGGTCCACGAGGGAAAGGTGGGCAACTCAGTTCTAATCTTGACGTGTTGAATAACAGCAATCAGGGCTGTGAAAAGATTAAAGGTTTTAATCTGATTAATCCCAGGAGAGCTGTGGATTAATCGAGATTAATCCTGATTAAAGTTTCTTAAATTTGGTGGATTTTAGTCATTACTGGGCATCTTGAGCTTGGCTTGTGAAACTGTATACAGTGGACCTCCAAGCTACAGTACGAGTCTTATCCGTTCAACAACAGCATATCCACTCGTATATAGATCAAATCTTTTTTTTTTTTTGGTTTTGTTTTCAAACACGTGTTTGGTTTTTAGATGGTATTTTAAGCTTGAGGCACTTCAGTGAAATGAAAACACTTTGCCACAGTGTGTGTAAATTACAACACATGATATGTTTTAATATGGGTGAACAGATGGTGTTACAGGATAAACAGCGCGGGGCGCTCTTCTTATAGGTGAAAATGTGTAAAGAGAAATAAAATTCGATTAAGGAAAAGAAAAAGACAAAGAAGGGAGCAGGTTATGGTGGGAAGGATGTCTCACAGAATTCCAAAAGAAGGTGATTTCTGATGCAGAAATGGTGTTTTTACATAAAGGATAAAAAGAGAAAAACATTTATTATCATTAAGCTTTTCTTTTTCTCCGTAGAACTTGAAAAATCAGACTCAATTTGTATTTAACCCTGTAAAACCTGATTTGAACTTTGTCTATTTGAAAATATTTCAATAATTTGAAATTTTTGTCTATAATATAGTATTTTTAAAACATTTTTATTTTTGAATTTCTTTTAGTAAAAATGAGATAAACAGGTTTAAAAAGGTTTTATAGACAAACATAGAGCTGAAAATCCCTGAGTCTTCTACAAAACATGACATTGGAGGTGTGAACATGTGTTTCTACATGTGTGCGTATGTGTTTGTTTGTATGTGAGCATGTGTGTGTGTGTGTGTAGGGCCTTGTGCTCATTGGACGGCCTCCATGTTGTTAATTGAGTCCTCGTGAGAGCTTGTGTGTGTGTGTGTGTGTGTGTGTGTGTGTGTGTTGGATGTTGCATGTGCCCATATGGAGCAGCCCCTCTGCTTTGTACAGCTTTATTAGGTAAACAGCAGAAGTGGGAAAGCATGTCAACGTGACATGGGCCATAGAAAAACATGACCTCCCTTCGTGTTATCATCAGTGAGGAGAACATTCATTTGATCAATTATCTCCACTGATAAAGACAGAAAAACAGTTTTGTTTTTTTTGCGGGAGGGTTTTGTTATTATTGGTGATTTGTTTGTTTTCTAAATGTTCAGGCTGCTGGGAACATGGGTCTGTACACAGTGGACAACGTCCACATAAGACACAGGGACATAACATACAGCATGATTGAATTATTCTGTGCCAAATAATTAATGTGATTATCTATTGTTTTGGGTTTTTTTTTCAATTATTACTTCAACAATTTATGATTCATCTTGTTATTTTCAGGTGGTCTCGCCGCCTTCAGGACTTTTCTGAAGACGGAGTTCAGTGATGAGAACATTGAGTTTTGGATGGCCTGCGAGGAGTACAAAAAAGTCAAGAGCTGCACGAAAATGATGTCGAAGGCTAATAAGATCTTCAAAGAGTTCATTGATGTTCAAGCCCCTAGAGAGGTGTGTGTGTGTTACATGACTTTATTGGAAAGATGACATTTGATAAATAAATGCAACAATTTATTGTGGTGGTTTTTTTTTTTTTTTTTTTTTGTTCCTTTATAAGTCTGTGCACATTTCTATCCCAACAGGTCAACATTGACTACCGCACCAGAGAGAAGATCAAGCAGAGCCTGGAGGAGCCATCTTCAAGCACTCTTGATGAAGTCCAGGCTCAGGTCTACAGCCTCATGGAGAAAGACTCCTACCCACGATTCCTCAGGTCCAAGATGTACCAGGAGATAGTCAACAGGGTGCATGCACATAGTCAGCGAAGGTCCATTTGACTGGTGGGGAGTTGACACTGAGCTTTAACTGGACCTGAGCTTTGACCCTGTGATGTCATCATCATTGTCACCATCACCTAAATTTAAAACTGTGAATCTGCATGGAAGGAGTGAGATGTTTGTACACAGATTTGATTGACGCCTGCTCCATGCATGCACCCCCCGTACCCCCATGCCCCATGTCATATATGATGTGTCTCAGTTTTTATCTTTTGTGGATTTTATTGGGGAAAGAAATCCAACATGCAACAACCAAAAACCTGTTTGTAAGAATGGCGAATGCAATGACAAATATATAAGTTTAAATTAAAAAAAAAATCATTAGAATAAAAACCATCAGTGGTGAATTTATGTCTCTGGAAAACCATGTTTTTTGTGTTTAATGAATTTTAGAGATATGGTTCAGTATCAGGGTCCAGTCCTACCTCCTTCACACCTCCATTCTGTGTGACTTAAACACTGACATATGCCGGTAAAACCAGCTGTTGTGGTATTTCTCTTGATAATATACCTCCATATGAGTTACTACAGTACAGAGTACATGTTTAAGACTGTACTTTGCACTGGTGTATGTTAACGTCAGTACATCTATGCTATAAGCTCTCTCCACATTTGCACTGCTTTCTAACAAAAAGCTGATTTTTTTTTAAATATAGGCAAATGTTTACAACTGTGTGCATGTCTACTGTTTGAATTTGAAAGAAAAAAAAACAAAATCCTGTATTGTATGTTTCATAACTCACATGCATATATAAAATATCCCCTCCTATATTTTGCAAATAAAATCTATCCCTAAATTAATTGTTATCCTCTACTTGACTTCTTATCATTAAATCTATAAAATGCATTCATCCCTGGATTTGGGGAAATGTTGGCCTTAATTCCATTCAAAGCTTCAACTGTTTTCACGTAAATCTTTCATGATGTAGATTTGTGGGGAAAAAAATAGTTGTCTGTCCTATTTTTTCCAAAAACTGAACGAGGCTAACACATTGATCTCCAGGAGTTTGTTCAATAATTAAAACTATAATAGACATAAAATTGTCTTTTACAGTAAAATAAAATGTATTCTATAATGGGTGTCAAAGTTGAATTAAGAGTAAAACCAAAAACAAAACGATATCAAACTTTATATTATTATTATAGAATTTAATGAAAGAATCTGCACAAAGACCTTGCGTAAGTCTTCGAGCCACTGGGAGAATCTGACCTTGCGTAAGTCTTCGAGCCACTGGTTTATCAAAAGTGTGGGGAAGAAAGTTAAAGGAAAAAAACATCTAAGAAACGATAGCAAATATCCAACATTTATGAAATAAGAAAAATCCACTTACTGAAAAAATGTTTTTCTTATATCTGGGGCAGTGCTGCGTTTGCCCATCTGTCTCATTACACCATCAGTGGAGTGGGCTGTTGCTGTCAATCTGCTAGTTACTTGGAGAGTGAAGAGCAGAGTGAATGTGGGACACAGCCTACTCTGCAGACAAAACATGAGCTTTTCTAGGCCATTCGATGACAAACACTGGCAAAAATTGGAGTCAGTAGAACTGGAGCATCAGTGCAACCTGTTATGAAAGTATAAATTACTGTAATGTAATTGTAGATCAGGGTGAGTCAACAGCAGTTGCTGTTGCCTGTGTTGATGAGATCACTCTTACATGTTGACGCTGTAGTGATGCTCGGCTGTGTTGATACACTGACTCTAACACAGGTTAATGCAGCCGAAAGGTAAACACAAGAACTGCTTCACAAACAGCCTAACACCACCTGTTTACGGGGAAGATTGACATATATGGGCTAGTCTGACATAAAATGCTATGCATAAGAACTAACATCTGAAAAAGAAAATCTTTGATCTGACCTTTTTATTTTAGGCTTTTTAAAAATATATTTTTCTTGATGTCTATCGACCGCTGCGCCTGGCTTTGCTTTACTGAGTCGTCAGAGCGTAACAAGACTGGCTGGAATTTAACGTTGGAATGTTAGCTTAGCCTCTTGTCTTTTTATGTACAAAGCATACATCTCCCTTTTGTTTTGATTTATGTGCATTTCTCTATCCTGAGCACCTGCAGCATTCCCTCTGACTTCCATACTAATTGCAGTGTCATCTGCAAACAATGTAATTCAGAGAGATGGATTATCTGTCTCTGATCTTCAGTCAGTCCATGATAGTCACACATAGGTGCATCCAACAAATCGAAATCCACCTATCCAACCACTAACTGACTGTACTACCATGTACGTACATGTAAAGCACCACCATCATATTTTTCTTTCTTCAGTTCTGCACAAAATTTATGATTTTTGTTTTTTGAAAGCATCACCTGAGGATACTATTCTGTTTTGTTTTTTTTTTTTGAATTGTTTTTCCCTTTCTTACCTTGTTTTGTTTTGTACCTGTGCCCGGATCTGTTACTCTGTACTCTCTAAATCAAGAGTAAACACAGCTACCCATGGTGCCGCACTCCTATTACTATGTATGATGTGGGGGGTGCAAGGACAGTGAATTACTCCTGTTCGGCTCCGAGACAAACAGGAAGAATAACAAACAAATTAGATTGTCTCTGCTACATTACAGTCATGTGCTGGACTCACATGACTGTAATGCTGTGCTGTAGGTTAACTACAGTGTGTCTGCCTGTCTTTATATGTTGTACTTCCTTTAGACAAATCTTCAGGAGTGTTGACCAACTTTGCCTGACTTTAAGGGATCACTCATCATAGTTTTTGTGAAGGTTGAAATAACACTTTAATATCAATGTTAAAAAATATGTTATAAATGTAATAAATAAATATAAGAAATGTATTTAATATATAATTTATTATAAATGACACACTTTCATAGTTCCCCTAACGCCGGGTCAGGTATGAGAGAAAAAATCAAGAAAATAATCTGTATCAAAATATCTTATCAAATATCTTATCAAATATCACCTTGACGCACATTATGTCTGCGCTCCAGTGTTTTTGTTTTATTTTTATTTTTTTTATAGAAATTGTGTCATCAGCTGACGTCCTTCGGTCATAATGACAAATAAACCGTATGGACTGTTCCTGAGCATCCTCCCTGGTTTTCAGACACAAACAACCTCCTCTGTTGACCCCCCCGCCCCCCTCATATTGACATTATTGACTGTTTGGGATCATCTCCATGGCAGCAAGCACATTTAGACTGTGCATATGTGATGTTGACAAGAGTCAAATATCAGCTCTGTTGTTACCTGTCGGTTCACACACCCACCACCGGGGTGTGGGTCAAAACGAGAAGAAAATCAAAGCCATACAGCATCCAGTTAATGATCAGTCATTCCCTGCTGTTGGACGACCATGTTTTATTGCTTTTGTTGGAGACATTATCTTGGGTATAATTTATCAGTGTCTATTTTAGCTCATGCGGCTAATGCATTGTTGTTGAGATACTGTATCAACAGTGTTTCTGGACATTAGTGCATTACATTACAATTACAATCATGAGAAATGTTAGACTAACATTGTCACAGTAAAATAATTCTTTAGTAACATCTGCAAAAACAGAAAAATCACACAGAAAAAACAGAATATATACATATAATTTTTTATATATATATATTATAATATATATTATATTAAAAAATTAAAAAAATGTGTACATATGTATATGAAAAAATCATATATTTGTACACACACATATATTTACATATAAATACATTTTTATAATGCCCCATTTTATTGAGAAGCATAAAAATATTCCAGGTTTTCTTATCAAAGACCGATACATTTTTCAATTACTTTAATTTTAATTATTTAATAACTGCTACTGCTAAAAACTACTAACTTCACGGTCACAAATTATGAGTAATGTTATTATTATTATTATTATTATTAAGAGAATCTGAGTCGTAGCGACAGAACATGGGTAAAATAATAATCTCCATGACAAATTATTTCCCAGGTTCTGCTAAGCCTTTGATGTGCAAAGTGTCCAATTAGTCTCCTGGGAGCAGTTAGTAATGAAAGTGTGGCTAAAATGGGAGGACAGTCCAGTGCTTACTGTTTAACAAACAGCAGCTTGTGGGACAGCAGCAGACTGTTGGTCTCCTCCCCTGAGGGGGGAGAATCAAACGGATGTTTAACCACAGGCTTTGACAAAAAAAAACTGAGAAGAGAATGTGACTTCTACTACTGATTCTAAATTAATGCAATATTGATCACTCTAAACTGACGATGACTGTGAGTGTCACTGTTGAAACCCTGAAAAGGATTAAAGTTTAGAAGATAATGGAATGAATGATTCTAAATCTGAAGAACACTAAACTACAGCCATCAAACATATTGGATTTTTATTAGTTAATAATTATTAGTTATTAGTTCGGAAGAAGAATACAGCAATATTGTTTGTTTTTCCCCAATTCCCTTATAGAGATACATTTGTTTATTTTTTTAATCATTTTGAAGTTTGGAAATGTACTAAAATGCTGTGAAAAACTGACACAAATATTATTATATTTGTAACAAACACATCCTGGAGACTGGAAATTATCCTTGCAATTTCTAAAATGTTGCCAAAAAAACAGCAAAACATTGTTGAAGTCTTTGATAGGCCTTCATTTCTCGTCACAGTCAGCTGTGCTGCTGAGAATTTCCCAGAACATTCTCTTTCATTATTTCCATCCACTCATTCATTAAAATAGACACTCGGCTTTACTGTCTGCTCTTCACTGACTCACTGCTCTGAAGGACGTTCAGGATAAAAAAAAAAACGGAAGAAGAAGGAAAACAAAGTAGTGCCGAGAACGGTTACTGCGGCGTCCTGTGGTAATGACCTTTGAAGGTTGTTCTGTTTAATTCTTTTTTTCTTTTTCTTCTTCTTCTTTTCAATCACCTCCTCTTTTTGTGCAGAAAAACTCAAGTGGACCAGAAACTCTAAGTTATCAGGTTGAAGCGTTGCCCTCCTACTGCATCATTTCTCAGACTCTTTCAGGTTACATAACATCGGCGGGGAAGTTCCACCACATTTGTCTCCATTTACTTTTTTTTGCCTGCACAGTGACGGTAGACACAGGCATCAGTCGCTGTGAGCACAGGAAGTCTACACTCGAGTGTTCCGTTAACGCTGCGTGTCATTCTAAACAGATGGTCTGCCTATTCGCTCTGCTAGTCCTAATGCGTATGCTGCGAAGTGATGTGCGAAGTCAACGCAAACGCAGGTTCAATTTAACAGCTGCCTAATGCTGTTGGTGGAAACAAAGCTTCGGCCCCAGAGGCACAATAGCTTTTAAGTCATGTGTTTAACGTCAATAGAAAAACAATGTGCAAGATGTTAGCACCGCTGGAGGCTTTGATTTTTACTGAAGCTGTGGCGGTTAAACGTTAGCTTGGACTAATGTTGAGACATTTTGTTCCACTCTTGTTGGCTCCTGTCCTCAGGGGAAACAAAGGGAAATCTGCCCACATGGCAAAAGGTTTTTAGTTCAATCTGTCCCACTTATCAACTGATGTCGATAATTAACAAGTTCAATGTCCATACTGAACAGACAGGTTAAATGGGGTCAAATGATTTGCCCTGGGACATATCAGCACTCAGCACCAGCTGAGCCTCGAACTTCTGACCTTCTGGTAGGACGACAAAGTCTTGTACCCACTGTAAACCAGGGCTGTGATGTTTTCCAAAACCTCATGTTGCAGTTCACGTTTGTTCAGATTTTTCTTTTTTGGGGGGGGAGTGGCTGATTTGGGGTTTTTTTTTTTGGCGGGGGGGGGGCTCAGAAGTCACAAAGAGAAATCATCATATACGGGCATATGTCCTTTCCTTAAAAGGTCTTATCCACTTGTCTAGCTCAAACCAGTTGGGTCTCGAACCTTTGACCTTCTTGTAGGAAGACGAACTGCTGTACCTACTGTATATCAGGTGTAATATAGTCCACAAAAGCACAAAAAGTGTATGTGTGTGCTATTTTTACATCCCTGTGGCTTCGGTAATACTGGGTCACATGATGGTCAGCCTCCATGAAACACGCCACAACATCAGGAACACATGAACAGCCTTGATCGGAGGGTAGGAACTCTGGACAGAAACACTTATGAAAACA